CTATCGATCGATCCCGCCTTCCAGTCACCGATATCGCTAGTACTTCAATCGATCGGTCGCACTCAACAATTAATGGTCTCATAATGCACCTGTCGATCCCAATATCCATCTCGGTCTCCTTACCGGTTGGTTTGAATACCCTTCCGACCACTATCGCCATCATCTGAATACGTCGGTTCCACTATATACCTGTCGGTCTCCTTTCTCTATAAATCCCTTGACGGTGCCCACCTGGGAGAATCACGGGACGACAGCGGGCGGAGACTCGACAACCACGGGACAACGACAAGACAACCATGGGACAACCACAGGAGGATCTCGGGGCAATGTCGGCACAGCCACATGATAATCACGGGACAAGCAAGGGACAACTACGGGGCAACCATAAGACAACCACGGGACTACCACTAGAGAACCGCTCGACGATCACGGGGCTACCACGGAACATTGATTTAGCTCTCTAATGGTATAAATACAAGTTCTACCGAGTTTACTTTCAAATAATCGGCTGATCTCACCGCCAATCGGTTTCACATGCCGTTGTCCGGCACCATGTTATCGATACATCGGCCCCACGGCTATACTATACATGGGTCGCCTGGTAGGGCCTCCTGTTATACATATACATATGCACGCACAGGTGTAATCGAATTATCAATCGGTTTTTATGTACATCTTCGATACGAGAACCACGCGCGCTTCGCGCGCGCTAAGGTTCGAGCAAGTTCTCGATGTAGCCGATCGTGTTCGGCATCGGAGGACATATAGTGCATACGGACGGCGTGCCTTTTGAACCTCCTCTTGGGAGTATTGGCGGATTGTTGGGCTCTCTGAAGGTCGTCCTGGAAAACCTTGGCGCCCTTTTGGGAGACCTGGGGGCATCGTTGGCCTATCAATGCTCCTCGTGGTCCTTTTTGAAGCGCCCAGTGGGGATTACCCCCTTTTCGAGCAATTTGTGGGCCATCCTCAGTTCTGAGGAGGGCGCGCTCAGCCTTTCAAAGGCCCAAGATGGCTTCAAGAAGGCCTACAGTGAAAACGTATAGTAAGGACGCGTGATAAGGACGCAAGACCCTTGGAGGCCGAAGTTGAAGTATTCTGGTCTGCCAAAATTGCTAGGGACGGGCCGCAGAGGCTGAGGCAGGCAAGGACCCAAGGGTAACCTTGAAAAAGTCGTTTGTCCTTACTATGCGCGTGGACTGTAAGGACTCCCCTAGACACCCTGAGATGGTCTCGAAACGGTCCAAGAGGTTCAGGAGGCATCCCAGAGGCCCCCAAGACATCCCCAGAAGGCTCTTATAGCATCGCAACGCGGCAGAAGCGATCCGCACGTGCGCTCTAGATGCCCGGCTCAAGAGGTTCCCAGGAAACCCCCAAGATCTCCCGAGAAGGCCCCCAAGAATGTATCCCACATTCACCAAATGGCTTTGAGCACAGCTTGGGGAGCATGCGATCCAAACGCTTGCCCAAATCCTCCCCGTCTGTCAGCCGTCTGACATATTCATTCTGGCCCGTCCGCAGCCACCGCAAGCAGCACACAACATCAAGACAACTCGCCTTCAAGACAGCCAACAAGGCCCAATGTAGTCCTCAAGACGGGCCCAGACGGCCCAAAACGAGTTAAAGAGGCCTCCAAGATGGCACGGGGGCCCCAAGAAGTTTCAACACTTGCCCCCCAAGGCCTCTAAAACGGGGCCAAGATGGCCTGGAGGGGGCCCGAAGCTTCCAGGACAACCTGAAGAGACCGAAACCACTGACTGTTTTATTCGTTCGAATGGCTTCCGCTCTCTCACCTGTTCGGATTTCCAGCAGCCCAAGAATGCCCAACAGCCTCGAGGAGGCCAAAGAGGCCCCCGAAGGTCCAGAAGACCGCGCCAAGAGTGCCCCAAGACGGCTGTGTTAGCACTGCGCCCCCCGCTCATTGCGTCACGCACAATCACGCGGGTCACGCCCACGCAGAATACCACCTGCAAGCCAAGAGATAACTTCGCACAACACCAACCCCGCCTATGTCGGCACATCCGTCACGCAACTCATGCCCCAGAAGGAGCTCCGCCTATGGCACCAAAGGGCAACTTCGCATGGGACCCCCCCGCCCATTTCGGAGCATGCCTCGCACGGGTCGTGCCAAGAAGAGCTACACCTGCCGCTTCCCTGGCCGTATTCGCAAGGGGGCATCCGGCACCCTGTTCATGCGGACTGCCCCGTGCACGGGTACTCCGCAACAGTCCGCTTTCCGCATTGCCCCGCGGTGCGCGGTATATCAAGAGAGACCAACGCCCTGCGATACGCATCGCTGCACAGGGATGGGATGGTCGCCAGGCCGACTGCTTGCGCCTACAGCGCATCACCGCCGCCCCCTGCCCTGTTGGAAGCGCCAGTTGGGCCGAAAGCGGGCTTAGAGCTGTCTTGTCATGCGTCCCCCCAGCCGTCGTAGAAACCGTTCGGGGAACATGTGGGGAAGAGGAGGGTAATGAGAAAAGGAAGAGGAAACATGAGGAAGAGGAGGCGAAGGAAAAGGAGGAAAAGAACAAGAAGGGGAACGCCTCCTGGAAGTCTTTTGGGGTACTCGTGGGATCTCCTGGGAGCTTCCTGGGGGCCTCTTGGGGGCCTCTTCAAGGCTTTTAGGGGGTTTGCTCGGGGCCGTTCCTGGCATATCCGCCAAGGACGTCCTGGGGGCCATCTTCGGCGTCTTGGATGCCTCTTGGGCAATCGTGGGGCCGTCTCGGGACCGTTTTGGGGGCCTCTTGGGCCCCTCTGTAGCAATCTTGGAGGCCTCCTGGGCCGTCTTGGGCCGTCGAAGGCCGAAACAAAACAAATACCAACATCCTCCAACAACTACTGGGGAATCAATGGTGTTGGCCTCTTCGGGCCTTCCTGCATGTCTTTTTGGAGGCCTCTTGGGCCGTCGTTGAGGCCTCTTGGGGGCCGTTTTGGCTCATCTTGGAACCATCATTGGGCTGTATTGGTGGATCTTTGGGTGGACTTGGAAGCATCTTGGGCCCTCTTGGGCCGTCATGGAAGCCATCTTGGACCGTGTTGAGCGAACTTGGACGCCATCTCGGGCCATCTGGGCCGTCTTGGAGGCCACCGAGGCCATCTTGGAACGTTTTTTTGGTTCGGAACGCCGCGTCCTTCCAGGTGGCAGGCGCACTCGACCGAAACCCCAGGGGGAGTTTCAAACGAACCAAAAGATTCCTGGAATCTAGTACGCCAGGCACCCCTGTGGCAAGACCACAAGGGCGGCGGATCGATGGCCTTCGGCCGATTGCGCTTGTCCAACAGCTTTTGCGCATTTTCGAATCGAGGTGCTCACTGCGTGTTTCTGCTGCGATTGATAACAAATCTGCGCAACATTTAAACAAGTTCGGAAGATAACCGTTCTTACGGAATTGCAAGCACTTTCCCACCGTGTACGTTGCAATCTAAGTCTTGGTGGAATACTTACGAGATCAAGCATTGTGCGGCATTCAAATCGAATTTCGTTGCGCCTTCCTCGCTCGGCTGGGGGGGTGCTGGGCTGGGGGCTGGCTCTTGAAGCCTCTGCTGGGCCTCGTGGGGGCGTTTCGGCGCCTCTTGAAGGTCCGCCACGGCAATCCTAGCCACCCTCTTCGGGCCCTCTTGGGGTTCCGTTGGGGCCCATTCGGGGCTCTCTTGGGCCGTCTGGGACGCGCCTTGGACCGTTTTGGGGCCCTCTCGGGCCGTCTGGGGGCCCTGTTGAACTGTCAGCACCTGCTCGGCCGACGCGGATGGCGTAAAGGCTCGGACCGCGTACGTGCTGACACGCCTTTGGCGAAGAATGGGACGATCTCGGCCTCCCCAGGCCCTCTTTGGGCCCTCTTGGGACGTTAGCGCACAAACGTGATTCCACACAGGCACGCTTGCCTCATAGGGCGACGAAATCTATACATATCCACTGCTCCCTGGCCAGGCCCATCCTCAACCCCGCAGCGGTGTATACGCCACGCCCTCCTGGTTTAGCCAGGAGGGCGTATACACAGCTCCTGGGTTCAGGATGGGCCTGGCCAGGGAGCAGTGGATATGTATAGATTTCGTCCCCCGATCTCAAGGCCGTCGGGGACTCCTCGAAACCGTCTCGCGGACGATCCGGGGCCCTCTGGAGCCGCCTTGACGGCGGTCCGGGATCGATCAGCGGAATATTCCCCAATCAGCGCTTGCGCTGAAAGGGTCCGTGCCGAAAAGTAAAAAAAAAATTGCGAAAATTCCCCGCAGATTTTGGTGGGAGGCTGGGTTTCCGGGCTCCCGGGCTCCCGGTTCCAAGTTCCCGGGTTCCCGGTTCCGTTATCCGGGCCGATTTCGGAGGGCGGCGAGGTTCCCAGGTTCCTGGGTTCCTGGTCGATATTCTTATCGATCGGACTCACCATCGATCTCATTACCGACTTTTCGATCGATCTTACCATCGACCTCGCCACCGATCTCACTATTAATCTCACAAGCGATCTCACTGGAGATCGCATGGGCGATCTCGCGATCGATCTCACTACCAATATTATTGGGTCGATGTCGCTCTCGGTTTCACGACAGACTTTACAATCGTCCTCACTACCGTTTTCAACATCGATCACATCATCGATCTCAAGATCCACACTATCAGTTTTCAAATAATCCACTGAATGGGGTTCTCTCAGGTGTCATGTTTGGGCTGTGGGACAAAACTCTCGTAGACGTATATCGGGGCCACTCTGGAAGTCACTCGGAGCCTGGTCGCGGGCATTTGGGGGGGGTCTCTGAAGGGTCCCCTGGGGATTTCCTGGGGTCTCCCAGGCGGGCCTCGCGTGGGCCTCTTGGGCCTCTTGGGCCGTTCTCGGGGTTTCTTGTCCGTTTCGGGGCTCTCTTGGGGGCCTCTTGGGCGATCCCAGGGTGGTTTTGGAAACCTTTTAGGTCGTCCTGGACCGCATTGGAACAAGAACCGCAAAAATGCTAAACATGTGCGTGCTTGGCGAGGAATGGGACGACGCTTGCTTCTCGGAGCCCTCTCTTTTCTCTAACTTACTCGCCACTGCGTTTCCACTCGTTCATGTGCTCTCTTTTTTGGGCACTGTGGGCGGCGGTCGTGCCTCGAACGGAAAACACGATGGACGATCTGAAAAGGGGTCCGCTCAATCAGACATGCCGTCGTCCTGCTCGGTGTCATCGGCGTCCCCTCCGACTTGTCGCAGCGCAGCCGCCAACTCTTCGGAAGCCCGATCGATGCAGTGTTTCGTGATCTGGTCGACCGCCGAATCGTCCACATCGGCTCCAAGCCTGTTGGACTCAACGCGAGCCCACAACTGGCGAACGTTGACCGCCACAACTCGAGCAGTTATCGTTGAAAGCGGCTCGACGCCAGCGTGGGTAAAGACATCCGAGCCCTGGGCGCCCGTGACCCTCGCCAGCGCGGGCGCCTGCTGTTCCTTCTTGTGCGACGCAGCGAACGCAATGATCTTCGCCCACAAGGCGAAGGGAGCCTTCAGGAACTCGATGTCGCGCAGCCACAGGGCGTTGGAAACCATGACCTCGGTGATCGTGTACCAACAAGACGCATGGAACGACAGCAGCGGGATCAGCTGGCGGGCCGACATGCGAACTCCACACATGAGGTCTGCTGCAAGCCCACCACGTGGTCGACAATAGGACGCCCCGCGCTCGGAAAACACGTTCTGCACCGGCGCGCCGCAATCGGTCGCAGGGCTGGGCACCGCCTCGGAGATGCCGCACTGCGGCGTGGGGATCTTCTTGCAAGCGGCCAACTCGCGCCTCCAGCGGTACCCGTCGTGGGACGAGTCATTCACCACTTTGCAGATCTGGAGAACGGTGCGCGATGACAGTGGTGGTCATCCTGCGACGAGGCACTGGACGAGGCTGGAGGCAGCCGAACTGTCGAGCTGACCAATGACTCCTTGGCCCTAAGGGAGATCGATCGTCGGGTCCCTCGGGTCGATACTGTCCCGAACGAGAGACAGCGTCAGGCATGCCTTACGGCCAGCCGTGCCAGCGGCGATGCAGCTTGCCACATATCTCTCGTCAGTCGGGTCGTGGTCAGTTCGCACAGTTCGTGCCCTTGGCCGAACTCGCGGCATGCCTGACCTGGTTAAAGCCACTTCCTGCTGCGATGGCGGCCGAGCTGACGCCTGTATGGTTGTTGGCAGCAGGCACCTGTATGGCTGTTGGCCGTTTGCTTCTAGGAGTTCTCTTGGGGGTCCTCTTGGAGCGGTCTTGAAGCGTCGTGGGCCTCTTGGGCCGTTTGAAATGCATCTTGGGCCGTCGGGAACCCCTTGAGGGCGTCGTGGGGGTGGCTCCGGGCCGTCTCCAGCCGCCCTAACAGCTCAGCTGTCTGGTGGCTCTCAGAAGCGATGTTTGGTGCCCCCGACCGCCGGGCCGGGCCCACGGGTCTCCCCATTTGCGGTCGAGGTCGCGGCCCCAGGGCCCCCGGGCCCGGTCCCACGTTAGATGCATCCGGAACAAGCAAGAAACTAAAGACGGGGCAACCACAAGACAAACACGGGACAACCACGGGGCAAGGACGGGAAAACTACAGGACAACCGTGGGACACCCGCGGGACAACCACCGCACAACTGGAAGACAGACACAGGCCTAATCGCGAGACAACGCGGGGACAACGACGGGACAACCACAAGGCAAACGCGGCGCATCAACGGGACAATCACAAAGCAACCACAGGACAATCACAGGATATCTGCGGGACAACAACCAAACGACCCAAGACCACTGCGGGACGCCACTGAACAGCCACGGAACGACCTCGTCGGGATAACCACGCGAGCACCCGCCCACCAGCTGGACGCAACAAACTGATGGCTCCCAGCCCGAGCAAGGCCGGGATTTCTCCCGTCCTCGCGTAATTTCGCCTCGCCCGCACGTCAAACACGGCAAGAACCCACACCGAAACCGATCTCTGGGTTGGGCGATCCTGTTTAACGTCGATCTAACCCCCGACCTTTGATATGGCCGATACATATATATATAGGGAGAGAGAGAGAGAGACAAAACAAGAGACAGAGAACACACGAAATAGATAAATAAAGACAGAGAGAGAGGCAGCAAGAGAGCAAGAGAGAGAGAGCAAGACAGAAAGAGTGAGAGAGAGAGAGAAGGAACGAGGGTGAGAGACATACACAGACAGAGAGGGAAATATATATATATATATATATAGAGAGAGAGAGAGAGAAAGAAAACGGGTGACAGCGGGGGATGGATTTCCTCCTCCTCCTCCTCCTCCTCCTCCTCACTCTCTGAAGAGAAAAACACATGCATAAACATAAGCTGTCGCGGGTCCTAGCGGATTCTTCGGATCGGCGCGGCGCTCCCCTCCCCGGCGCTGCCTTCCTCCTCCCGTCTCCTGGCCCTTCCACGGCCCGCCCACGGGGCGCCCGCCCGACGGTCGTCGATGTCGCTCGGGCGTGGCTTGAGCAACCCGCGCTGACGACTGCACCTCTGAGGCCACCAAAGCGTGCCAACAGCACGCCTGACTCGGGTCGGGCGAAAGGGGGGGATAGCAAAGGGGGGGTTTGAGAATCAGCTCACGGAGCTGATTTTCCCGGCGCCTCCCGGCGCCGGGAGGCGCCCATGTATTGAGGAATGGGCCCCTCGGTGAGGCCGAAATCAGCTGCATGCAGCAGATTTCGTAACCCCCCCTTTCCCAAACCCCCCCCTTCGCCCGGCCCGACTGATGTACACGGGGTCGATCGGAGAGGGCACGCGAGAGGGCACAAGACCCTTCAGAGGGCCACGCTGCAGTGAGAGCGTAGAAGGCATGGGTCGCGAAGCACAGGACACAAGAGTATCCTTGCTTTGGCGAGGTCGACCTGCTATCAACCTCGACTGTAACCGGGCCGTTGGCCCGTTCATGCTCGGGCGCTGCGCTCCCAGAGGCCTCCCAGATGGGGTCGGAGGATCGCGCAGCATCGTCGGTGCATCGGCGGTGTCGGCGATGCATCGGCGACGTCGGTGGGGGGAAAATCAGGCTCCACATCGAGCCGCAACGCCGATCCATCGGCGATGCGGCGATATCCTACGACCCCATCCACTCGGACCCCACTCAGGAGACCCTAGCCTGTTCTTCTCCGGCTCTTCCTCGACTCTCTGGGTCCTCCCTGATCCCCTCCTGGACCAGAGAAGAAAAAACGCCATAAACATTAACTTTTGGCGCTCCGCGCGGACTTCTTGGATCTGCGCCAGACCCTCCTTCCTCCATGGCGCGCGGAGAGCGCCAGGGGCGGCGCCGGATGCGCCGCCGGGGGGGCCCCAACGCGGATTCAAGAAACCTGCGAGGAGCGTTCCTTCTTCTTCTTCTTCTTCTTTTTCTTCTTCTTCTTATTCTTATTATTATTATTATTTTTCTTCTTTTTCTTCTTCTTCTTCGATGGCCGCCGCGGCCAGCGACGACGGCACGCCCGACGCCCACGGCGCAGCCCACGATTAGGTCGGGCGTGTCCTCCAGCAACAAGTACAAAACAAATGACCAACAAATGCTCAAACAATCGTTCCCGAACAATGTTTTTGACTATTTCGGAAGATTCCTCCTGCAGAGGGACGAGCCCGACTTCAGCCCACGAGTACGGCGGCAAGGGCGGCGCACGACCGCCGCCTGCGACGCCGCGGCCAGAGCGGCGGCCGCCGCGGCGGCGCCGGCGAGCAGCCACCGCGCCCGCCTGCAGGGCTCCGCACAGCGCGGCGGCGGCGGCGGCGCGGTGGGCGGCAGGCGGCGGCGGCGCGGTGGGCGGCGGGCGGCGGCGGCGCGGTGGGCGGCGGCAGTGGGGCGGCCGTGGGGCGGCGCTCGCGCGGCCGTCGGGGCGGCCTTCGGCAGGCCGTCGCGCGGCCTTCGCGCGGCGGCGGCGGGCGGCAGGCGGAAGCGGCGGGCGGCAGACGGCGTTGGGGGCGGCGGTGGGCGGTGGGGCTTTGCTCGGGAGCTGCGGGCTCCGGGAAAAAAACACCACCAGCAGCTCCTGTCCCCTGCCCTCCTCGACCCCCCCCTCCTCCCTTCCTCTCTCCTGGGAGAGGGATGGGGTCAGGGCGGTCGTGGTGGTGGTGTCCGTCTTCTGGCCCAGTGGAAGCCCCCCGACCCAAGAAGCCCTCCGTAGTTTCGGAAAGGGCCCTGAAACCTTTCGAGGGCCGGGAGGCCTTCCGAGCTCTGGGAGGAGGCACGCCCCCCTACCATCATTATTACCCGACGGGCGCGTCGCCGAGTTCGGTCTTCGGGTCATCACTCGGGCCAAGGGCGGTCCTTCTGGACGATCCAGGCACCCCTGGAACGCTCTCGGGCTCTCGGCGAGGAGCGGCTGCCAGAAAGCATCGCGAGGCTGGAACACCACCGAGACCCGACGAAAACGTTGGACAACCTCGAGCCTCGAACCTCGAGCACCCTACCTCTGGAACGCTCTCTGCCTCTCGGCGAGGAGCAGCTAAGCATCCCGAGGCTGGAACAAAAACCACCGAGACCCGACGAGGACGTCCGACAACATCTCGAGCCTCGAACCTCGAGCCCCCTCGAGCCTCGAACCTCGAGACTCGAGCCTCGAACCTCGAGACCAGACGAACACGTATGACAAAACCTCGAGCCTCGAAAACCTACCTCAAGGCCCCATCTGGGCTTCCCGGGCGCGCCGCTGGCATATCAGAGTGGCAGAGCCTCACCGTCCGCTTGCGTGGGACTCGCCGTCAAGACAACCGCGTTCCACGACTCGCAAAGGAACTACGCGCAAACGGCCTGGATTCGCCGCGGGGGATTCACGATACATATATATATAGCTGCGATACCGGAGAAACCCCCAATCAGGGCTATAGGGCAAGGGGGTTATAGCATATAGGGCTATGGGGCTATTGAGCTATAGGGCTATAGAGCGATAGGGCTATAGAGTTGTAGGGCTATAGGGCTATTGGGTTTTAGGGCTATACTTAAAGGCTCCAAGATCTTAGGCGCACTTACGAGCTACCTATAGCTGGGTGTAAGTTACTTATGTTCTGTGTTAAGTAACAGTATATGTTGAGTATGTTCCCTAACTAAGGGCATATGTTTTTTAAAGTGCTTCTCTTACGAAAAAAAAAAACTTACTTGCGCTACTTCTAACTATTGTCCATCCATCGCCGAGCGGGGTAAGTTACATATATGCACTTGTAAGTTACTTAACACATTTTAGGCACCATCACTTAGTATTACTTATAAGTTACTTATACGTAACTTGTAAGTTACCTCCTTCCCTCCCTCCCTCCCCCTCCCTCCCTCCCTCCTCCGCGCCGCGCCGCGCGCCCGCGCCGCGCGCGCGCAAAAGGAGTGAATTGGGGGAGGTATCGATGGCGATCGCTTGCATGGGGAAGGAGGGGGAAGAGTTGGGGAGGTAGCGATGGCGATCGCTTGGGGAAGGAGGAGGAGGAGGAGGAGGAGGAGGAGGAGGACGAGGAGGAGGAAGAGGAGTGGGGGAGGCAGCGATGGCGATCGCTTGGGTAACGATGGACGCGGTGACGCGCATGATGACGATAACGACGATGACGATGACGACTACTACGACGACGATGACTACGATACTGGCCATACTGACGACACTGACAACACTGACGATGATGATGATGACGACGATTGCCGACGATCCTGACGATGATGGCGACGACTACGGCAATGATGATGACGTCGCTGATGATGACGATGACGACGTTGATGATGATGATGGCGACGACGATGGTGATGATGACAGGCGATGACGATGATGGCGATGATGATGACGATCATGATGATGATGATGACGGCGATGATGGTGATGGCGACGAGGCTGCCTCAGACGACGGTGACGACGACGATGGCAAGAACTCGCCCAGGACTCCAGAACAAGGACTTCCGTGTGTTGGAGTTGAGGCTATCCACCCTATGGGTGGGAGGACGGCGCCCTCGTCGTCGTCGAGGTTGGTTTGAGGAGGTTTGGGGTTCTTGAGGTTTTGGGTTTAGGTTTTGGATTCTGGTGGTTTTGGGTACGTCGAAGTTGTTTTGGTGAGGTTTTGGTTTCTGGATGTTTTTTTTTTAGGTTTACGTATTGGGTTCTCTCTCCCCCGTCCCCCATCATCTCTCCAGTCCCCCATCATCTCTCCCGTCCCCCATCAACTCTCCCGTCCCTCATCGCCTCTCCCGTCCCCCATCGTCTCTCCCGTCCCCCCCTCGGGTGATGCAGGAGGTTGGGGCCTCTCGGAG